TGTGAGATGACAGCTGTCAGCGCATATATAATAGTTATGAGGTCATGCTACTCGCGGACTTTGGAAGACGCAACGCACGGGGAACGCTCGAGACGTTTTGCATCCAAGTCAGCAATCCAAAAACGAACGGGAGAGATTGCGTCATAGTAACGCGGAAGCTCGAACCTTAGGTAAGGCTTGGCCTTCCAGTAGTGACTCTCAATGAAGAACGGTCGAAAACGGTTTTGCTGTCGAATGAGGGTTGTCTCAAGATCGAACAGTGTGCGTTGAGTGGCCCTTTTTATGATTATGTGATGATCTGCACTGATTTCGAACATCTTCAGGGTAGTAGAGATGTTGGCCGGGTGGTCGTAAATTTCTTCGATCCTCTCAGGCTCCGGAGAAGGCGATTCCGCCTGAATGGAAGTCAATAAAGTTGATTTATCAGCCTCGTGTTAAACTGAAGTCAATGACCTTACAGTCGACAGAATAGCGAGATTTATGAAAAGCCGTACGCGGGTGACTGTTAAGAAATGATCTACTTACTTCACCTAACGCAGTCGCAAAGGGATGACTGATTACAGTAACCGCTGGCTCATGTGATCAGTTCATAAAGATGTACTTCAGCTTCAGCTTTACTTTTTATGAAATTTTGTCAGAGACGTTATCAAATCGGCTTTCTTTATAGTTCTGTCGCTATCATTATAGTTTACACTCTTGTCTAGATATAACGAGCAAGAAGTTCGGGCAGCGGCAGTCACAAGAATGACAGCTTACACCTTCAAGGAGACTGCAAACGAGTTGCGAGGTCGATTTGCTCGTCCAACCTCGGTTAGTTCAGATCTGATTACGTCATGAAATGACTTCCGCGATGTTCTACGTATAATCGGGCTAACGTCCGTGCGTGGTGTCTGTGGTGTCTGGGGTTTTGTGGTCAACGAACCATTCATGAGCACCCTGAATGAAGTGACATGGAGGGGTCGGCGAGTCTTGGCTGGGGATGTCCGGCCCAGAGCATGGGACAAAACCTGAATAGCACCCATGAATAAGTGTTCAGAAAGACTCAGTGTCATCCCTCCCAAGAAAAGAACGTGATTTCGCAGAAACGACTCGCCACATTCAGAAGAACGGACTGGACGCAAAATTTACAGACATGTAGTGCGGGTAGTGCCTGTATTTCTTTCATGAAGAAACTAAAGATGAAAAAAATTATAACTAAAACTTTTCGAAAACCATGTCTTCAAATTCTTCGATCGTAGCTTCTCTCATTCCGCGACAAAGGCACTCAGTTATTGCCTAGGAAATGGCCATATCTCACTGATGCCAGGGGTGATTATAATCCTGACCAGATGTTTCATTAAAAGAAGGAAAAGGTAAATACACAAAATATAAAATCTTGGAAATCGGAGAAATACTACTGGACAAATAAAATCTTGTATCGGCAGAAAAACTACTGGACAACCTTTCTGGTAACTCATAGTATTTAGAAATTCAGGGAACGATTCCGTCAAATTTCCGTCGTCAGCCCTACATAAAACGAACACGTTACTCTCCTTACGCATCCGGATTTATTCTTCCATATGCTGCGAAGCATAAAAATGATGTATGTGGCTGTTGCTTTTCAAAAACATAAAATTCTTAGGAATTTCATTCATGTAAATCCTTAAGGAGCCAGGATTCATAGAAATCTACCAGGATGATCGACCGTCATCTTTGACCACCGGTTTCAATGGACACGTTTATCCAGTGGAAGAGTGAGTGTAAATGTTCACCGTTCGCTGGTCACAAGGATGGGTTTTTTAAGGTTGCCAGAGGGTCAACAAATTGACGAACCATCTGTTAGTCACAGCAACATATCAAGTTTGCCACGTTCAAGTTCGATCTCTGCAAAGGCTGAAGCCAGAAATTCTCCACAGCAAATGCAGGCGGAATCTAAGCGAGGTTTGATTCCTTTATTGCTGTCTTGGAAGCTACCGAATGCCAAAGCTACCAACCTCAGCTTATAGCTAATGTTCACCTTCTTACAGTGCGCTGCGTGATTATAGAACACACCGATGTTTGTATGTACGACCACCCAATAAATCGAACCGAGAACTTTCAATGTCGTTTGATTTGTCGTTCATACGCCTACGTAGGACTCTAAATTTAAAAGTCATTCTTCCAGAAGGCCTGAAACTCCGAATAAAGAAAGAAGCGAATTCATAAGAGCCCTTTGCTAAATCAACACCTTCCAGTTTCACTGAACGGTTGTAGAAGCGTTGAACAGTGCTCGGGCTTCAAATTCGGATAATTATTGCTGCTTAGTCCACCTGCTTCGAAAA